GAAAGAGGATATGCGTAAGAAGGGGGTAGACTCGGATATGACGGCTGATAGAGATGTATGGAGGAGTAGTACATGCTGTGCCGACCCTCGATAGGGATAAGGGCAGGTTGATGATGATGATGATGAATTTTTGCGATCCATTATAACGTGTTTGGTTACTTAAGACTATCACATTACGCTGAATGGATCAGGCTTTGGGCAGTTTTTATACATTTAAATTTAGATTTGGATCAAAGGCATGAAAATGTAGTAAATTTTATACGCGTGATATAAAAGGGGCATCACCTATGGAGGTATTGAAAGACTCCAATTTGCCACGATTCGTATCACGCGTCGCTTTTGTGGTCGCCACGCTGTGATTTCATTCATGAAATCCAATATCTTTGCCGGTAGGCGGTATCACAAAAGTTGGATCCTTTATGGTAGGAATATTTTACGCTTTCTATTCTGTAGTTAACACGTACTGACTTTATCGTAGGTTACTTTATAAAGATTTTTTTATTTATAAAGTCTGCAGAAATTTTCAATGTCAGATTTTTTTAAACAAATACACTAAAATTATCATCTTCCAGTATCAATGCAAGAATCAGTTATAGAAAGATATCTGTCGGGTGGTCGGACTAGTCGAGATCTAGTAAAGTTAGAAAGTGAGGCTATGGTAGATCATACAAATCGGACACTCGAGGCAGTCTCCTCTTGGGGCCAGGCTAATCTTGTGCGATTCAACGCCACCAAAACACAAACGTGTCTATTCACCGCCAAAAGGAGCGAGTTCACCTTAGCTCCTACTTTCCAGAATGTTTCCCTGGAATTCAACGACTGTCTGCAGTTATTGGGCGTCCAAATCTCGTCGAATCTTAACTTTGGACAGTTCATCGAGTCTAAGGCGATGGTAGCTGCTAGGAAGCTTGGAATCCTTTCCAAGGTACGGCGGTACTTCACACCTGGACAGCTATTGACTTTGTACAAAGCACAGATCCGACCGTGTATGGAGTACTTCTGTCACATCTGGGCAGGCGCTGCCAAGTACCAACTCGCGGCTCTAGACTCGGTGGAGAAACGAGTCAAAAAGTTAATTGGTGACCAAGACCTAAATTTAGTCAGTCTTGAACACAGACGTAAAGTAGCACGTCTCTCGGTGTTCTACAGGCTTCATTTTGGAGAGTGTGCGCAGGAATTACACGAGTTAATTCCCCCATCACCATTTTACCACCGGACGTTCAGGCATACGGCGGGAATCCATCCTTTTGTGGTAGAGGTACCGCGCGTTCGAACGAAGCGATTCGAAGCATCGTTCCTTGTGCGTACCGCAAAGGATTGGAACAAGTTGCCAGCCTCTGTTTTTCCGTCCAAATATGATGTTGGGACCTTCAAAAGTAGAGTGAATAGGCACTTACTAAGCTAGCGCGTACCATCTTTCGACCAAATCTCCACTTCACCAGGTGGGATCGTGGTCAAGCGCCAGCTTATAAAACGTAAAAAAAAAAGTTTCTCGCTACCAATGTCATCTAGTAGCAGCTCTAAGCTTTGATTTCCGTATAATAATTTGGCCTTAATCGATTTATAAAATTAATAAAACCAAACTCCTTTATTTTATAAAAGTGTGTTAAGTTATTAGGTAAAACAGAAAAATACATTTTCGAGTATATTAAAATATCAACGAAATTTTTGGTCGGAACATAAAATATGTTGCAGGAAATTAACTCGACATTCAGGAACGAACACATGTTTCCTCAACATCCACGTACTCAATCCGCGACAGGATTATTTTGACATGAATATTATTTCATTCGGTTTCCAGTACTACGTATTTAACAATCAGTTATTTAATTTTCTTAATAAATTATTCAATAATATATTAAGCTTTTTAATTTTTTATGACTAGCTGTCGCCCGCGAATCCGTCTGCGCGGAACTAAAAACAAACTTAATTATTAACCTCTGTGTTCTTCCCGACTATGTTCTACATCTCTGCCAAATTTCAGGAGATACCTTCAAACAAACATCCATCTATCCAAACATTCGCATTTATAAAATTAGTAGGATTTCTTTGTAGGCTGGAAACATAAATAGAATAGATTTAACAATTAATATGCAATGAAAAATATTAGTTTTGCCTTTAAATATAGAACCATAGATTGACATCTTGATAAGCGGCGAGTTAATCACATTTTCGCAAAATGTTAGGCGAAATTCAGTTTATTATTTTAGTCGTGACATAAAATCATGTTAGACGCAAAATGTTTACCTCCAACAACCGTATTCAAATTATAACGCAAAAGCTATTATAAACAAGAGATTATAGAAGGAAAACTTTACGCAGCCGTAAACTTTTATGATAACAACTTCTTTAAACATGTTGTAGTTCTAACAAGGAATTTAACATTTCCTTTTAGTTTAAAGTTAGTAAAAACATTTTTCTGTGTTCACAATCTGAGAAATAAATCTTAAGATATCTATATATGCTAGTACAGTCAGCTGCATAAATTTGTATACAATTAAAAAACTTTAGAAACTTGTGTGGGTCTTCGGTTTTAAAAATATGTTTGCACTAATTCGCCAATAACATGTTTACATAGTAGAAATAATGCAAACGAAGGCGAGCATACACATTTTTGAAATCTTCGTAAAATTTTTCATTTTTATGAAGCTGACTGTACAATCTTCTGCCGTTTACCGTTTAATTGTGATTGTGAAAGTGCTTTGTACAAAGACAGTGTACACTACAGTCGAAAACGCATGGCTAATGTTATTTAGGTTAATTAAAACATTTGAAAAGCTCAAATTCAATTAGTATGTACGCAAACTTTTGTTACGTCACACGCAGCCTGCCGGGTTCGCGTCCGCTCTGACCTGGATCTGTCGCACAATAACACCGTTTCCCCTTTAATAGTTTTTAATTAACGTGAAGTCGGACGCACTGAGTTTTTTTTTTCAGTTTTAACATGTACAATTAATTGTCAAAACGACGATGTGAAGTTAACGCTAGCGCATTGAAAACGCTTTATGATTTTTAGAGTGCGAATGAAAATGGATATGGTAAGCATTATTTAAATGTTTTAAAACTTGATGAAACTACTTTATACTTATTAAAAATGTACTTGTATGAAAGTGTGTATTGCATACATCTGATTATGGCCAATTAATTCCCTTCTACTTTTACATTACAAGACGTTTATTATAGTCATTCTAAAGAATAAGTGATAAAACACAATGTTTTTTTTTCTTTTTTTTAAGAGGACTAATTTTGGCCTCCGGGACGCACACTCATCAGACGAAACGCGGAATTGCTTCCACTTCACGTCTGTCTTCTGTGTGGTCGTGGTATTTCACCGGGCGAGCTGGGCCGATTCGTGCAAAGATGTTAAAGCGGGCTCTACCACTGTTAAACAATGTAATAAAACTTTAGTATTATTTGTAAACAGCAAATCTATATTATTAAGAGCAAAGCTTTTTTCTGCACGTGTGTTCTTTGCAATTGTTAATCTTACAATTCCATTTTCCAAATAAGTTGTATCTCGCACGAACAAAAAAAATACTATTCAATAAAATAGTCTCATGATATTGTATAAGTGTAGACTTACTGTCAGTTTGTTTGGAGTTGAATGGAATCTTACAACATTTGGTACGAATTTATATTAAAGTTTAATGTTGTATGCAACATTACGAGTGCAGTTTTCACGGCATTGCGGCAGCCGGTTACATCACGTGTCCATACAAGTTCAGACACATTAGGTGATAGCGACACTTTGTACTAAACGTTCACTTATAGCTTGGGAATTCTCACAAATGCACGTATTCCTTAAACTGAAATATTGTTTTAGACATCTTTATTACTCATTAATTAAAGTTGTTTAATGAGTTCATATTCAAAATGAATAACAGTTTTTGTTAACAGTTATTTCTTTAATGATAGCACGAATAATAAACTATTGTCGACGTAATTTTGGAGAGCCACCTACGCAGGTCATCATATCATTCAAAGTCTTTGTTAATTTGTCTCTTCACGTTATTACGAATGTGTCAGAGGTAAGGAGTAAATTTAGTTACTTTAAATTTCATTAAAACTAAATTTATTAAAAATTAGTGTAAAATAATTGTATTAAAAAATAACTTACGTTTATGTTTAACTGCGGCAATGAGTGGTTAAGTGTAATTAAGTGGATTCTATGCTAAGGGTCTTCCTGGTCAATTTTAACTTTGAATATGGTTATATGAGATGAAGAATGATGAATGTTTTCGTTAGTGAAATATTAATTATTAAATTTAAATATGAAATCTGTTCTATTTGGATTACACACTCATCCTAGGTCTATGTCGCTATCATTATAGGTCGCAGTGGAGGCCGCAATTTCCTGATGGCTAGGTCGCGTCACAACTCACTTTCCGCCGCAGACAAAGCTCGCTGCTTTAATTTAAACGTTATCTTTGCCACCAGAGACTCGCTCAACATAACATTAATCAAATATTTGAATGAAACTCTTTTACAGTTTCATTAAACGCAAGAAACTTGTGGATATTTCCCTGGTGAGACAAGGAATTTTCTACACAGTTTTTTCACGTGCTTTTTACAACAATGTACGTGCTTGTTACTCTCTTCGAATGAACATGAGAAAAAGAAAACAAAAAAGAAATGTTAGCAACATTATCAAACATATATTTTACCATGTTTTTTATTTATAAAACAACTTTCTTATATCATATTCAAAAAATCTTAGGCTAACGTAGAAAATAATAATTTGGTTTCTTATAGCAAGAAAAACAAACTGTTTAAACATCTAGTGCAAACCACTGCAAGCTTAAAACTATGCATAGGAAATAGTTTGTACTAGTAGTAGAAATATAACTCAAATTTTTCTATTGACATTTTGCATCAGGAAAATAAACCAACAATTACATTTACGTCACACGAGTAGGTATACCTTTAGTTTTATTTCTTAAATTGGTTTCCTATTACTTTCATTCATCAAACTTTTTGAGGTACGCGCTTTATGGCTTATAGAAATTGGCCTTTTTATGACTTCTTAAAGAAAAGTGGCTTTGAATCAATGCACAGATTTTATAGCACTGACGTATTCTGGAAAGTAACAAGATTATTTCCTCCATTTCGACAATATCAAAAAGGTATTACTTAAACACTTTTAATTGAACAATTAAACTCTTAGCCAAGAGTAGTGAATTTCAACAACTTTAATTAACCTATAATATTTTAAATCAGTAATTCCAAAAGTGGACTATTGCAAGATGGCCACCCAGAAGGGAAGTAAGGAGGGAAGTTAAATCCATAAAGGACGCATAGGAAATGGAAATACTCTCTTTCCTCCTTTTCTCCAGTGTTTTACACATTTTATAAAAAGAAAATATTAAAAATTTTATTACTAACGGAAATATTTTGCAATGAATAAGCTATCGCCTAACCACAGTCCCACCTGGTATTAAGTCATAATGTGGCCATTAAAAGAGATCTACTGTTAAATCTATAGAGCAAAAGTAGTTCATGTCTCAGGTATGTTTTAGAAATGACAATAAACCTAAAAGTTTTCAGCTACTTGTGAAATGTTAAAATAGATGTGCGACCCCATTTCAAGTTCTTGAATAGAAAAGCGTTCCTTAGGTTCGACGATAAGCGTAAATATCTATACGATAGAGAAAATTTATAGCTAGTGCTTGTAGAAATTTCAATATTTAACGGCTTTATTATTCATATTGATTTAATTCTTCAGTCGTTATTTGTTGATTAAATTATTAAATAAGTATGTATAAATTTACATTATTTAATTAATTTATACTTTGTAAATCAAGAGTTAGTAGAGTGAGTAGTGTGTTGGCTCGCAGTGGATTGCAGAGGTTTGGCCACAACAAATGAATGTCTGTGATCTCTGCTCACCCATTTTGGTTACAGACGTTAGTTTTGTGTGTGATCAAAAGTGATCAAGAGTGCTCATTTGCACATTTCCATCGTTTAAATGCAATTGTAACATTGTTTTCGAGGTAATAAAACCATACGATGAATAGACGAAACAATAAATTTCGGTACCAAAGTAGAACAGATTAATTCTGTAATAAATATTTGTGGAGCTCAGTATGAGCTCGCTGCACTGTAAACGAACTTGCATTAAATAGCATGGATGCGGTATTTCAATTTGTCTCCGTACTGTGTTCGCTGTGAATTAATGCTAGGACGACAACTACTGGCTTCATTACCCTACGGCGCCGTGAATACTGACTTGTGACGTCACGACTTCATTGAATACGAGCTGTGAGCCTGCAATTTCCCGCCCAGACATGCCCGCGAGACTTATTCAAATTCAAACGTTATTGAATGCAGATGAAGGAATTAATATTATCCATCGTTATTTTTCGTATGGTTTCATGATAAAAAGTTATCCAAAAGTTTTAATACCAAATTATCTCTGAAGTAAAATCTGCAAACAATAAGATATTAAAATAAAATTACTGATATCGTACTTAATATTATAAATGCAAATGTTTGGATGGATGGATGTATGTTAGAAGGTATCTCTAACGACTGCAAGGATCTCGCTGAAAATTGGCACGGATGTAGAACATAGTCTGGAACTACTACTATATTTTTTTTCATCTCGGCCGGAAGGAGTCGCGGGCGACAGCTAGTATATAAAGTTAAAAAATAACATTTTAAAAATTCCTTCAGAATTTTTATTAAAATACAGATGAAAACAATTCGGTAAATAGAAATAAAAATTCACAAATGCTCGCTGCACCACACAAGTCCACGAAACCAATAAAGCGATAATTTAAAATGTCACGTATTTCAGTGAATCGCAATATGCAAAGTGCTGATAGCACAACGCAAGCGATGTCGCAGGCTAATGCAATGTATATTTGCGTATCGCCGGCCGGTAAACCGAACACGAAATGGTAATTTGCCGCCATACCTCATAAAGCTCTTTGATTATCCTCTTTAATGAAGTTTGAAACTGTTTGATATTCGAGATTGTTGAATGACGGCGTCGTTTCACTGAATTGTGACTGGATTATCTTGAACCGAGAGGTATTTTGCTATCAAATGTTTTGTTGCTTAATTATTAACTTTTCCTTACACGAACTTAACTCTGCAGTAGTTTTAATAATTTGCAGGAGTACGATTTTCAAATGATAATAATTTTCTGACGTCAGAGGTATGTCATAAAGATGTTAATTAGTATTTTTCGCATGACTAGCAGTCGCCCGCGACTCCGTCCACGCGGGATTAAAAAAAGGTTCCTTAAGTGTTTTCGGCAACCATTCGAATTTATCTCACCTTTTAAACCTTCCCTAGAGCTCCACGAACATTTCAAGACTAAGATAAGATAAATCCGTTCTGCCGTTCTCGAGTTTTAGCGAGACTAACGAACAGCAATTGATTTTGTATAATACATATAAGATAACATAATCAATAAGGAATTAATTTTATATTGAAAAAGAATTTCTCTGAAAATGTTACTTTGAGATTATTAACAGGTTTTCTCGCTTTAACCCACTTTTCACTTCGCCTTATCTACACTCAGGTGACAGGTGTCGAGCTTTTCGCGTAATGGTGAAACCTACTTTAGAAATAGTTATTTGTACATGTTCACGATTTAAAATTTGTAAGGGAACAAATACAGTGAGAAAAAAACCAAATCAATTAAAGAAGTACAAAAACGTACAGTCATCCCTTTCATTATCATTGAGAAAGACAGAGAAAACAATACGTTTTTAAATATGTGTTTCAGTAAAGAAAACTTACGGATACATCGTACACTTACATTCAGTTATGAAGATTATATTTCTTTAAGAATAGGTATCTTTTTAGTCAATTCAAGTAATACTCCCCTTATACTATCACTTGATTAAAAATATATTTTACTTTTATCTTTTTTCCCAACCTTTTAACATGTTCTATCCGATAAAAAATATATGTAATAACTCGACAATATTGCGAAGTGACAAATAAAACGTAAGTCTCATAAGATTGTACGGCATTTAGTAAATCGTCACGTAAAGTGATCTTGCGTTGGACGTCTACAAACAATAATTCCTTCAGTGTGATTTTACTTTACGACAAGTCTCGCACGTATCCTGCGTTTATCTCGGACGAAATTTATGACCACAATAACTCTACTTCTCGATAGGAAAAACTCACTTGCTTACTTCTTTGTAGATTTGAAATTTTGCTTCATTTGACCACTTTTTGATAAGATAAGATTTGTGGGTGTTACACTGTCGTTTGATTTTGAATAACTACCATCGAATATCATGAAGTTCGAAATTTTAAAACAGATTTAGGATAATTTGGATATAATTATATTCTGAAGAAATAATTTCCTTTAATAAAGTAATTTGAAATGAATTATTGAAGTTAACCTTAAATCTTATGCGATGCGAATGTGAATCTTTGAATGTATGGATGGATGGATATTTGTTAGAAGGTATCTTCAGAACGGTTGCATGTATCTTGCTGAAGCATAGATGTGCTTAAGATTTTTTTTTAATTTCGCGCGGTCAGAGTCGTGCGCAAAATCTAGTAAAATAAAAAAATTACGTGCTATTATCGTATCTTGATCAAAGCTATTTAATTAAAATATTATGGTGTTAATTATTTCATTTGTTTCAGAAAAATCAGTAAATGCCGCGAAGAAGACATACTACACGGCGAAATGGTCGACTTATAGCAGCGGGCAGACGCGAGAGATACGTGCGAGGGTGGCGGCGGAAACGGAAAAATGTTAATACTAGTGATAGTCCATTTTGTCACGCTACCTGTGATCACGTGGAGACCAGTCAAAGGGGATACGGGAATAGAAGATAAGACTCAACCATTAATCAGTTCTAGGGTCGTCAGGACTAAATACGGTGATATTAGAGGGTTCATAATGACACCGGAATCAAGGTTTCTTGAACCAGTCGAAGTATTCCGAGGTGTGCCTTACGCATCTCCTCCAGTAGGTTCATTAAGATTTATGCCTCCAGTGTCAGGAGCACAATGGTCAGGAGTGAAAATCGCAGAAGAATTCAGTCCGGTCTGTCCACAAGTGCTGCCAGATATAAGAAATGAAACAGCAGTCTTGAAACGGATATCAAGAGGGCGATTAGAATATTTAAAAAGGATATTACCATTTTTAACGAATCAATCGGAAGATTGTCTCTACCTCAACATTTATGCTCCCGCCCAAGGTAATTATAATTTGATGTTATATTTTCTATACACACTTTTAGACATTTTTAGTTAGAATCCTTTGGGGCGAATGACGCGGTTTTGTTACCAAGTAAACTGTCAGATTGATTATTGAGGGTACAAAAGCGTTGATATTTTAATAAGGCTAGTGTTGCGCCGATACATCAACACAGTATCGGATTTTCTTCCTAACAATATGTAAATATAAAATGTACATTTGGCTGATTCCCTCGTTTACAGTAAAGGTTGTAATTTTGTACTTTTAAAGTGAAATTTTATTCATATAAAATAGGGCTGTACAAATTGACAACAATTTATATCCTCAGACTGAAATGTTAGCTAGTGTCTGTAGGATTATACAAAGCCTGAGTTAAAATTTCGAAAGGACCGAGCGTTCATCTGGCGTAATTTTCAAAAGAGCTTTATCCTTGGAAAGAAAAATCACTTTTATTTCCCTGTAACGAAATTCGGACCGAGGGTTCAAGGATTTAAATAGAACCCCCCACCCTTAACGGAATTAAAAATAAAGTGGATGAATTTTGTCATATATATCACAGACGAGGCTAATTGGACAGTCTTTGTAACAAATGATAATAACTACATAAAGATCCCAATGGGTGATTATGGTAATTAGGAAAACGCTGTAGTTTTTCCTGATTTTTTTTTCTACACAAAAATATATCCCTTTTTTGCTAACATACATAAGATCTATTTAGAATCTAACTGTGTTATTGTACGATTGATGCATAACTTTGGATGGATGTATGGATCTTAGTCTCACAACTCCAAAATAGCTGAAAGGATCTAGATGAAATTTAGAACAGAAAAAGTTTACTGGAATAGCGCATAGGCTACTAAATATTTTTTATTAAGTTCTACACTGACGAAGTTACGGGCGACTAGCTAATTTTCTCATAAACGCCTTTTAATACAGTATCGCCTTGTAAGGCAAATTTTCAAGTACACGTACCGCTGAGTGGATCTCTAGAGATTTGTAGAGTTGATGTACCGTTGAATGGCATAGCTCTGCAGATACTTTTATGATATTGTAACGCGGAATATTGTAAAATATCGGGTTATAGAAAAGCAACCTCGTAGATTGTTTGCTACGTTATTGCTACAGTATTGCTACATTCGTAATAACGAAACAGTTTAAATAGTATTTAAAATTAAACGCTTGATTTAAATCGTGTTACTGAATTTTAGTGCTAAAATTTCTTGAATTTATTTTAGATTATAAAATATTAAAGTATAGGATTCATCACCGTGTGTATTATCTTTTAATCTATTTTATATCTGTATCCTTAAAAAAGGTGTTATATCTAAGATTATGCACATGATTGTATGAATTTCAACTTTAAATACTGATAGTAAAGTGACTAATGTAATTACAACACAGTTTTGCGACACACTTTTACAGAGTAGTGAACCGACACATGTGACCTGATTTGTCGGCAGGTATAGAACTCTAGGCTGTATTCGTGTCGGTGAGTAATATGAGCAACGATACATTTTCGTCGTTGAAATAGTCATAAAAGTGAATACGCCCCTGTCTCAAAAAGGCGAAAAGAAACTATGCACCGTGGTACGGATATTACGTTGAAATCCACCGAATAGGTTTTTGTACGTCTGCATGGTTTTGTCGACTTGAGCTTTTGTCGCGAACACACGTCAGAATTTCACGATTGGTGCAAGTGTTATTCGTTTTAATTTCACGAAAAAGGATTCTAATACAATATTTTTATGTTGCAAAATTCACGAGTAATAACTAATTAATAAGAAAGAAACACTATTCATGATTTCATAATAATTGTTTATAATCCAAGAATCATTATTTAAAGAAAGTCCGCGTATTTCTAACACTTGTACCATACACTAATTCGCTGTCATCTTTCGGCGTAATTTTGGAAGACCCCTTATATCAAAAAGTAGGATTTTTTGATAACCCTCACGAGGAGTGCAATTAGCAGTTTTAACTAGAGTGCCTTGTTGGGAGAGAGACTGTAAGCTTTCATAAACCGCACGCTGGAGCGGTCACGTGTTTCTACATACTCAGCGTAAGATTTGAAACTTCTTTCTTCATAGTTGGAAAATTTTAATTTCGACTATATTAAATAAGGCAATTTTTATCGAGTCCGTGTTAAAATTATAACAGAAAAAATTTGAATCATTATTATTATTGCGAAATAATAGGATCTGAATTGATTACTTACATTTAGCTTAAAAAAAACTATTAGAAATATGAAAGGACATTCGTTAAACGATGTACTAAAAATCGGAAATAAATTATTCAATATCAAATGATAAATTCAAAATATAAAATCTAATATGTAAAAATCGTGTGAATTATTTAAATATTAAATCGAGTGTGATACATATTTTTATAGTTGCTTGATACTGAAAGGAAAACCACAATAGCAATCGGGTCGACCTTTACCTCGATATTCCCTCGCTATCGGATATAAATATCAAGGTGTGGTATCGTGTACAATAGTTAACAATGTGCAGACAGCTTTATTACTATTTCAATTATTAATAACGATTTATAGCTCTAAAGAACATTGTAAGTCATCCTACATAACGGCCTAATCTTAATATAATAACAATAGGTTTCCACTGCCGTAAAAACTGCAAAAAAAGATAACTTAATAAACAAAAAAATTACATTATTTTCATTATTTTTTTGTTCTAAAAAATATAAGTAATGTAACTAAAGCTTAAATATAAGCTAATATCCATTATCTCTTATGATTTTATCGATATTTTTGATGACTCAAAATAATTTATACTAACATAGAAACAAATTTCTTGTTTTCAATGCAAAGTTTTATTTCGAAGTAACGAAAATGGACGGAGTGTATTCAACAAAACCCAGATTTATCCTTTTCTTTAGATCCATCACGCCGGCGATAAGGCTTGCAGACTTTGCCAATTCGCGCTGATACGGGCTCGTGGGGGTTCGGGGGGGTTCGTGGGGTTCCTTTTTTGTTCTCATTGCGCAAAGAAATCTGAATAGGCGAGTGGAACGTGTAAGTTTTCACGAAAAGCTATACTTTCAGAGCTGAAACACATTCCAACTGTACTTTATTTAAATTTAGAATACAAACAAAAAGTTTTATAGTTTCGTAAACCACAATTTATTAAGGCAATATATTGTTACTTTCAGAGTTAGTAAATACGTGCGTCCCTTAGTCTAGAATTAGTATTTAAATCTGTAATTCGGTACTTATTTTAGTAATCATTAAGCTACTCTTGAGTACAGCATTTGGTGTCTAGTTTGATTAAAATAAACAATCATACTAATAATATAAATAATGGATGTATGATTGTTAGAAGGCATGGATGTAGAACATAATCTGGAATAACACACAGGCTACTTATAAACGTATGCGCGGCAGGAGTCGCGGGCGACAGCTAGTAAATTATATCATACTGTTAGTTATTTAGATGTTCTGTCAATGTTTATTTTGGTATTAACATTTCTAACAATGAATAAAAACGGAATACGGATAATGGAACGAAAATTTTTGTTTAAATGTACAAAAACCCGATGCAACTTATTTAAGTATATTACTTCTCTATTGTGATATTGAAACAATAGTTTTGGATTATTGTAGAGTTTATTATTTGTACTATTTCTATTTTTATTATAAATATTTTATGTTCTTTGATAATTAAATTAATATAGTTAAATTACATTCAGAAATGTATTACATCTGTGTAAATTTACACAACCCTATTAAAATGTAGGTCACACGACAGTATGTCCCGTCCAGTTAAATTCCCATATGACGCAAGAGGCTTTTATCTAAGGCTTTACATTATTACACAATATAAAGGTGTCAGCTTGTTTGATATATATGTAACGATTGACTTAATGAGAATCAATCGTGGGTTCTCAATCCTAAAAAAAACTGTAATTAACAAGCGGTCGCCATCGACTCTGTCTGCACGGAATTAAAAAAAAAACTATTATTAGCCTATGTGTTCTTCCAGACTATGTTCTACATGAATTTCAAATTTCATCGATATCCGTTTAGCCGTTCTGGAGATACCTTCTAACAAATATTCTTTATCCATCTAAACATTCGCATTTATAATATTAGTAAGTTATACCTGTTTTTTAACAAAAAGAATAAAAGAAATCTAGTCGTTTTCAATGAATTTAATTAAAGATTAGTCAATTTATTTCAGTTGACAATTTTCTAACTCTACCATTCATTCAAATAATGATTAATATCTTTGTAGTTGTTAAATATATCATATTTATTTAACATTTAATATAAAGTAACAAATATTTCATTCATTGTCCTCCTCCTCCTCCTTTCTGGTCCCGCGATTGAATTTACCAATCAAATTATATTTCCCTTGATATGCAAAACTTTATAATTTGAAATTCAAAACGAAATTAATATTTTCTTTGTATCGAACAAAGAAAATACCGAGGTACCATTCAGTTTAAGTGATTGTTTCAAATATAATTTCTCACGCGTTTTAACGAAGTTATATAACGAATTTATACGAATACGTAATGAATCCAAACTTTTTAAAGTATTAGGTTTAAAAACTATGTAGTTTTTAAATTAAAAAAAGTCTTCGAGGTCCACCTAAACGGTCATCGTAAACAGAAGAAACTGTCAAAAGTCTACCAGAGTATAGTCTGCTAATCAATTGGTGGAGGATCTCACCAACACCTATAAATAATAAATAATTAATGCTTTATTATAAAATAATTTCCACAACTGTGTGGGAGCGTTGGCTCTTGTACTATGACAAACAAACCTGCACCTATAATTGTCGATCTTTGTAGCATCTATGAAATTGTAAATCGCTATTTTTTTATGTCACTGTATATTGTAATGTATCAAATGTATGTGTACAGCAGGCGTGCGGGACGCTGCAGCGCGCTACCCCGTACTGGTGTTTGTACACGGAGAGAGCTACGAGTGGAGCTCAGGCAACGCGTACGACGGCGCAGTGTTGGCCGCGCACGCCGGCCTACTCGTCGTCACCATCAACTACAGGCTTGGTCTTCTCGGTAATTATATATTCTACATATAATAAGATTTCACTGATAAAACATCTGTGTACAATGTATTGTCATCTGTATTTGAAAGAAAAAGAGATGAAAATATGTTCAAACTTTCGTAAGACATTATAATAACTCGCTCACTGTCCGACGGGCCGTGTCCGCGAAATAATACCAGTACCACTCATCCTGATGAAGGGCTCCCGATGGGCTCGAAACTAGTCGGTACCGAATCGAATATAAGTGAGTGTTTAGCCGTTTTTATATCAGTTTATTAGATGAAAATATATTTTGTTTTTAATTTTGGTACAAAGCATCCGTGTATTCCTTTATATAACCTGCACCAAAATCTTCTCTAAACTTACACACACACAATATCTCACAATTCCTTTTAAAATCTCATAATTAATCATCAATATTATCATCCATTATGTAATTTTTATAAAAGCCTTTCAACGAAGTATAATATAAATTAACGTAACACCAAAGTGACGTAATAGTAAATATTTTTCAAGCAAACAGAAGGGCATAAAAATCAATCAGTAACAATTTGTTTAGCAAACATTAAAACTATGATCACTGTATCGCATGTTATACTTCAATAAAACCACAACTCTTTACTATGACTCAGCTTTATTAGATCAATCGCGTTCCGACGCGTCCCACTAAAATATGTTTGCAAATGTAACCAGCTTTATCGAACGAGCATTTTACGATGTATTTATGTATTTAATCGCGTTTTATGTGACAAAACGTATTTTATGTTCGTCATATTAAATGTAATCTCATACTCGACGTGTCTAACATAATTTTAAATGTGAATGGTAAGAGCTATTGACCTCAAAATCTTACTAAATGCGAATGTATGGATGTATAGATGATTAATGTTTATAAGAAGGCATCTCGAATATTGCTGAAATATGGTATAGATGTAGAACATAGTCTGTATGAACACATAAGCTTCTGATTAAGTTTTTTTTTAATTCTGCGCGGCCGGAGTTGTGTGCGTTAGCTAGTGTACTATGGGTCGCTAGTAAACGAAATAAAGACCACTTTCTTGTGAAGAAGGTACTGATATAAATATTTATGTTATTTATAATAATCTCTATTAATATAAACGGCATCGCCGTAAACTTGTTAACCTCAAGATGTCGAGTTTACAAAAGTAACCCTCTTTTGTCATGTTTACAAGAATGTTATTATTATTTTATGACAGCTTTGCCCTGTAGGAAGTAGCCCATCTCTGGAATGCTTTTGATGACGTCGCAACTAAGTGTGCGCCGGAAATGCTGTGACGTTGCGTAATTTTGTGAAAATTATTTACAGTATGGCGGAAGAACTTGAAGAATTCTATAACATAGCTGCGCTTTTGAAATGTTTAGCTAAATTTTACGACCGTATTATAAGTAACTTTAAAGAACAAGGATGGGTGTTACATTGTTAAACTTACGTTAAGTTTGCCCACGTTTTTGGATAATATTATTAAATTAACTAGCCTATGTATTTCATCATTTATATAATTCAAAAGTTGGTTATTTTAAAAAATCTCTCTATACTTTTTAGTTGACAAAAGTAAAGGAATGCCGTAGTTACCATAAATGGACTGTGCTGTAAATTCATATATGTACGCTGATGAGATATATTTGTGAAAGTTATGTGCCGACCCTCTGTAGGGAAAAGGGACAGGGAAATGATATAAACATACCTATTACTAAAATGTCGAGAGTAAAATAATTGTTATTTCAGCGTTGCTTTCGTCATATAAAGGAAGGGGGGGAATTAAATTAATTTGTTAACAAATCCGCTCCAAATGAATCATTTAAGAGCTCTGTTGGGGCGCGGGAGTGCGAGCCTCGTTACTGGCCTGTTATCTTTCTATTGTTATGTAAATTTGTTTAACCAGTCTATTCATCTTGTTTCCTTTGACAAAAATTCCTTTGGATTTTTCCCTATTAAATGTTAACTTTCTTTGTGATGCTACTTATTTTATTACATCTTAATTAATTTTCCAATATTCCTTTCATTGCATTGCATTCGGAATCGGCTACTGTCTATTCTCATATTCCGCGCAGACGGACTCGCGGGCGACAGCTAGTTATTAATAGTATTCGCTTCACCACTTAGATTAATGAAAACCTATTAAAGTAAATTTTTCCTTTAATATATCAATAATAATATGATAAATGTACTGATTGTTTTCCAAAAATATGAATTTCTAAGTAGCAATATCGGTATTATTTTTCGGTTCTATTTGAACCACTATCGTTGATTACTAAAATATCGCCTATTGTTTTTCATTCGAGAACTGGGTCAGCGCTCTTCAAATGCAGTATCTTCGCTTTTATTTGTGCATTGAATTTCTATTTAAAATTAAACATTTCGAGATACCATTTTCATATTGGAATAATGCGAACATTTTGTAAACTAAAATATACACTAGCCGTCACCCGTGACTCCGTCAACGCGGAATTAAAAACAAAACATAATTGAAAACAAAGCCTATGTGTTCTAGACTATGTTCAATATGTATGCCAAATATCATCGATATCCATCGATCCATCTAAACATTCGCATTTAGATACGGAACTGTCTACGTATTTATGTGTTAAATTATTTAAAAAAGTAATAACATAAGCCTTTGCTGCAATAACTTGTATGTAAGCCGCATTTGATCATAATAACAAAGCCGTGAATAAAACACTCGTATTCTTTACTGAGTTCAATTTTGCTTGCCCACATTTATCATCATCCAGCAACCTATTTCTTTTTATAGCCACTCTTATCTTTGAATGGCCCAAAGTCGTTAAAACAAAGTAATAAACTCCGTATTACATTTTTGTATCCTAACATACAATATCTTCTTAATTAAGAAAATGTTTTGCTAGAAAATATCTAGGAATAAGGCATTGATTTATGTTAAAAATATATTTTAAACAAATAGAATAATTAAATAAAAAATCAGATGTAACGTTATGGAAATAAAAACGCTGTTTGTTTGAAGAACAAAAACTTCCTTTTCTTTTGAGGTGTTGCCTAATGAATACAGTTTGCGAGATCTGAATCACAAATAAGCTGTTAAAAGATATTCTACGTATAACTACGAAAACTACAGCTGAGTATAAAGCTACCTTTAACTTTTATTCCCTAAAGTTTTTCGTAAATAAAAAGTTTGTAATTAAACAAAATTTCGTAAAAATAACCATAAAGCAACGCGAGAAGATTCACAGTGAGATTGTAATAACGATATTTAATTTATTCGGCTTAAAACCGTGTTAAAATTTACTTTCATTCAAAAACAAATCTGGAAATCTGTAACCAAATAATATAGAGGAATAAATGATATTGTCCAAAAAGTATTGTTTACTATTGGAGTGTAAACAATCTACCGTTATACCTAACAAAATATCCATATACATTTCCCAAAGCCACTCCGGGATTAGTTTCATAAACATAACATGTTTATGAAACTAAGCCCAGGAAATATGCAAATATACGCCGCCATTTCGGTTCGATAAACTACCGCAAACGGGCCACAATAACTCTCTTTCGCTCGATTACATTTGCGTTACAAAAGAAATGAAATATTGTGTTGCAGGTTACTTCTAAATGGATGTTAGTTTATTACTAATATGAATTCTATTATGGTAAATAATAAACCCAGCCGAAAGTACTCAAATCATAAATCAACAAACACTTGTTCTTCTAATGAATTTTAAGGAATTGATATCGTGAAAATGATTGGCAGCAATTTTACCTCATCGAATTCAAAAGCCCTCCAAAATATCAGATAGTCGCTAAAAACAAAGATTTCTCGTGAATTTTTTTTGAATTAAAGGAACAAAGTTCATTTGTTACCATTGGTTTCTAAGATAGAAATCTCTGAAAAAAACATATTGGGGATGTATTTTAAACGAGCATTTTGGCCTCAGAAGCCCACGGTTAGGGTATTAAGGGTAATTTTTTAAGCGTTTACCCATTAACTGAACTTAGACTCAAATTTTCGGTAATCGTATTTCTTACCATCAACACATTATTAGTATGTTAACTTATTTTTAATTCTTATCCTGTATTACCAGGTTTCCTGAATCCCCGTTCCGACGAGTTTCCAAGATCGCCAGCTAACTACGGTCTAATGGACCAGATCGCGGCGCTGCACTGGATAAAGGAGAACGTGGGTGTGTTCGGTGGAGACCCCACTAATGTGACCCTCATGGGACACGGCACTGGTGCAGCGTGTGTGCACTTCTTGCTTACGTCACTAGCCGTTCCAGAAGGTTAGTACAATGTTTATAAGGTATTGTAGTTGTTGAATAAACAAATATAGATTTCTATTTGAGGTTTTAAAGCTTTGTAGACCTAAAAGCTGTTAATTGTAACTTAAAAGTGTAGCGAGCTTTACTTAACAATAATATTTTTTAATAAACTCGGTACATTTTAATCATGACTAGATTGCGCATTTAATACAACTTCTCCACTCACTTAAGACTTAAAATTCACAGTAATTCCGTTAACCATTACACCCCTACCGTCTATTTAACATTGAAACTTATCCGGTGACGGTGCGTACTCAGCGGTACCTTTATTTGGTTATAGAATTCGAAGTAGCCTTTCATAGTGCTTCTCTACAAACTATCCTATGTAAACAAGATCCTACCGGCACTCTACTTGTAGACTTTATTCACTGACTCAAATGCTTACTTAGTTCAAATAATTCGGTTACACATACAACTAAAATCAGTATCGGCAGTTTATCATTTTAGTACATGTTTTCTTATACAAGTGCTGATCTTTCTAATGTTATAAATGTGTATGTTTAAATGGATGTACGTTAGAAGGTATCAAATTTTGCATAGACGAAAGATTGTAAGAACACATGGGCTACTAAGTTTTTTTTTTTAATACCGCATAGACGGTGTCGCTGGCGACAGCTTATTAGCATAAAATTAGAATAGTTTAAAGGAATATAAAAATTTAATTAATGTTATTTCGAATGTATAAACATGGTGACATAATATTTAATTTAAATAAAATATTATAATAGTTTGAAATAAATAAAATTTTTCAACGAAAGCTTGGCTAGTTATTTTATTATTCTTACTTTAATGACCAAAGAGCTTAGTACAAAGTTGGAAAGATTCCAACGAACTGTTAAATCTGAAAAATGATTACAAAGAGATGACTTCAAAAGATCTTGGACTCACATTTTTAAATTAACAGATAATGATGTGATTAGATGATTAAGTTACTTGGTTATTTTATACATATTCATATACGACTTAATTTTCATCAAGTTGTAACTTTTTCCGTCTTTGTAACACGAGAAATAAAATAAGTAAAATGTAACAATTATTTTATTTACCACTGTATTATTTATTTATGTACAAACACTGCTAACAAATAACATATTATATTTCCACAGAAAAGTAATAAAATTCTTTACGATACATAAAACGTGAAATCTTCATCGTGATCCGTGACCCAGTGTCGGCGGAATCTTTTATTCAGTCGCTTGGAGACGCAATGCATCTCACATTTTACACTTAGGAAGTATATCATTCACTTACACTAACGTAGCATTAGTTGTAGAAAAAGAATGGTGAAAATGTCATTATGACAATTTAAAATACGTAAAGGGGGGCTAATATGATAATTCTTGAGAACGCTTTAGTAACGTTATCGAAAAAATATGTATCGAAATTTGTGCAGCGCTCCTACCGGGCATAAAGTGCACTACTATTTTTTTGATAACGTTACGAATACATTCTTGCGGCAGTCATTCAAATATTCTTGATAGTTCCTCAGAAATATTGAAGTTTGTTCATATGGCTCGGAATATCGTAGGAGTCTGCGGCACAGATTATCCCAGGTCTAGCTACGGCGAGTGTGTATAGGAATGCGGGTGGAGAACAAATTAAATATTTGAGAACATATAACTAATACTAAAGTAGAATAGATGAATATAGATCACACATTTAAAAAAAATATACGGTTAAAAGTTAGTAGCGACTATTTTCTGTGAACATACAGAGAAAGGTCATTTTAAAAGTTTAATAAAGTACATCCACAAAGCTATACATATATTTGAGAGTATTGGAGTTAACGTTGATTTATGATTCAAACAAAACTGTATGAATGCGTTTCTCGCTCCAATTCCACTCCCCATTTGAATATTTCGTGAATAAATAATGCGTATTGTTTGTACGATAGCTTATTCGAACAGTTCAATAATAAATTATAACAATTCTTTTAGACATTGTGACACTTATGTACTAAATAAAATTTTGTTTACACTCGTATATTTAACTAGCTGTCGCACATAACTCGGTCCGCGCGGAATTAAAAAAAAAACTTAATAAGTAGCGTATGTGTTCTTCCAGACTATGTTCTATATGTATGCTAAGTTCCGGAGATGCCTTCAAACAAACATTTATCCATCTAAACATTCTCAATTAAAATATTAGTAAGATTAACTACTGTGATATCATTTGGAAACATACGATAACCGTCCACTGGTCAGATTCAAGGTCACAAGTCCGAACACAATCATAAAAAGAACTTATTTTTAAATAGTTATTTGAGGGAGAATTTTTCTCTTTATTGTCTACGCTTTGGTTGCATTTAACGTTTTAAATTATCACTCAGTTTTCCAGAAACCATTAATTATAAAATTGTTCCCAGGTCTGCTGTTTCACAGAGCTATTCTTATGTCAGGATCAGGACTGAGTCCCTGGTCTCTGGTCGCCGATCCTCACAAATACGCTACAATAGTCGCGAGACACGCCAATTGTTCTCCCGGTAAGGTGCAAGGATATCCAGATTATGACATAATTACGTCGTGGTTAAACATAAACTGTGTATACATCGATTTATTCCTAGGACAAAAATGATGCATACATATAAGAGAGAAGATTTATTCGTTCTTTTCTATTATTACAAATGATGTCAGAAGATATTTAGAGTAATTGTAGTCACGGTCAAAAATATTATGGAGGTAGAATTATCAAAAATAATCATCATCAACCTGCCCTTATCCCTATCGAGGGTCGGCACAGTATGTACTACTTCTCCTCCATACATCTCTATCAGCCGTCATTCCAATTATCAAAAATAATGAAATGCTAAAATCACGTCAAAAGAAATCCACAAACCTGACAACGTATAATGAAAATGTTTTTATTTATGTGCAACGTTTTTTTTTTAGAAACCTGAATAATTCACATTTAGTTTCGTTTAGATCTGACGCCGCCCGCTCTGCTGCGGTGTTTACGTGAGCGTCCGCTCGAGGCGCTGCTGTCCGCTCCTGTGCGCGCACCTGACTTCTCATATGCGTTCGGGCCCAGCGTTGATGGGGTTGTCATTGGTAAGAAATGAGTCAACCAAGCTAAACATTTTATGTCAAAATTAATATTTAAATTTTTTTTATTTTAACGGCATAATCTTCATAACACATAAAGCAGTAAATGTTTTGAACTCCATAATTGCATGATAAAATTTAAAATCGTTTATTTTAGTTAAGGTAAACGATTTAAAACAAATTTATTCTATAACGTTAATAATTTTGCGGAGAATGAAAGTTGAGAAAGTTGGTGGAATCTATTAAAATGTGAGGAGGAAGTTGAAATCAACAATGATTTTAGTATTCTTGTAATGTGGCGGATTTCCAATACGAACTTTTTCATAACTCGAGTGTTGACAAACGGAGCGCGTTCTCGATGTTATTAAATTTTCTTACAAACTTTTCTCATTTTATTTGCTTGAGCTTCCACGTTTTCATCTCGCCTTCTTGTCTCATAACATTTTTCTTCCTGCAAACTTTCTTTCTGGAATCCTTAAACAAATTGTGTTCTTTTGTCAACGTATTAATTTTATACAAAACATTCTTATGAAGACCTATACATACTTAGGATATTTATTCCAAAGAAATTACAAAGTTTTTTTATAAATTATAAGTATATTTAAGCCGGTCGGTTACAAAATATATTCTTATTCAAATTGGAAAAGAAAAATAATTCATAAAACATAAATTGTTGTCGATAAAGTACGCTTGTTAATATGACATTTTATAGTGAGTTTTCTCTTTAATAATTAAAAATATTTCTATCCCTCTCATAACCTTAAAAAAGACAGGGATAACAATATCATAAGTTTGTAGAATGATGTTGTATTTGTCAGACACAGGAGATCTTCTGATGAATCCAGAGAACACATACGAATGGGGTGGGCAGAGTGGGCACGGCGGCGGCCAGCAGACTGCAGTCAACATCATAAACGCCGTGCTGATGCGCAAGAGTGCGGTCGCTCAACTCACCAAGTCAGTAAGATATTCACTTTATTGTTATATACAAAAGCAAAACCCCAATAGTCTAATGGTTAAGAATAATGACATTCTATCACGTGATTGAACGTTCAAATTCCACCAATCCATAGAATATCCCTAATAATTTGGTATTGTTAAGACAAAAATATATTTTATCTTCGAACCAGAATAGAGTACTGTTCACAACAGAAATCGACATAAAACAATTTAGTTATGAAATATAAAAAATACGTAGGAGTAAAGCCTTCATCTGCACCCAGCTGCAGAACGCTCAGTGCGACGTTGAGAGCCGCCAAGATATATGTTAAGTATAATAATTGTATACAGGTACGACTTGATGCTGGGAGTGACGAAAGCAGAAGCATACTTCGCGTTCAGCGGCGAGGACGTGCAGTACGGCATCGAGGCGGACAGGCGCTCCAAGATACTCAAGTCGTTCGTCAGGAACACCTACTCATATCATCTCTCCGAAATTCTAGCTACTATTATAAACGAATACACAGATTGGGAGAAACCGGTGCAACATCCCATCAATATCAGGTACAAATTAACTACGATTAAAAATAATATCCATAGATTCCTTATTATATAAAAGGAACTTTATTCAGCTATCACATGAGACAAATTAGAAAAATTATTTGTTATCTTTGTTGAGCATAAATTGGTTTTGAATTCTTAACAGCTACTACATTTATTGCAAATGAGCAAACGACCATCTGAATTCGTCGAAATGTAGAAGCGACCACAGTCCATAGACGTAGGAGAGGCACAGAAAGAAGATATTTCCCCATCCTTTGCTTACCCTCTTCTATCAAATCGAATAGGAAAGGGTATTAGGCCTCCGGCATGCTCAATCAAATCATTAACTACTGCTCCACCTAACAATTATTGTGGGGTAAAATTAGGCTACATTCAAGGCACTGTTTTTGAAAATGTGTAAGTATGCAGTAAGTAGATACATGTGTGTGTACTCAGAGACGAGACTCTGGAGGCGCTGAGCGACGCGCAGGTGGTCGCGCCCATAGTGCTGACTGCCGACACGCACTCCGCGCTGCGACGCAACTCCTACCTCTATGTCTTCGACTACCAGACCAAGTATGGAGATTATCCACAGGTACCTACCTACATAAGATAACTAAACAGTACTATTCATTCTGCCATTGGATTTGGGTTCTTATATTTTGTAGAGTTATATTAACTCGTTCTTTCAGAGTAAAATATTTCTTAGTAACAAAATGTTCTCGTTTAATACTTACAAACAACGAGATCTGGTATTAAGATAATTGTATAATTTTTGTCCTAGATATTATGTATAACTGCTCGTAAAGAATTTATAATAACTTATCACGTCATATTCAAAGACTTTACTGCCGGAGAACTTTTATGTCTTGAAAATAAAGTCTGTTTAAGATCTGCCAGGATTGTAAACTTAAAACTGCTGTTATTAAAGACTTTGAGCTCTCGAATTACCTCGTTTGCGGAGACGGATGTTCCACTAACAAGATAGTGAACCAATTAATGGTCAGGCACCTACCGGGCGGCTTTAATTTACAAACGGAACCTCGTTAGAAAATATAATAGTGTAGACTCTTAAAAAATTGACAAGACAGTTTTAAATTCCTTAGTAAATTTTTACGACTTTCACAGTTAATATGAGATTAGGTATGAGGTTTTTTATTCAATATGTTAACTCTTAGACATATGAAATGAAATGCCGAGTATGATAATAACGTTATTTGAGTAGCGTCAAGGCTGCATACACGGCGAGGAGTTGCCGTACATATTCGGCGCGCCGCTGGTCGGCGGACTCGCTCACTTCCCACGTAACTACACCAAGGCTGAGCTAGCACTCTCTGAATCTGTCATGCTCTATTGGGGAAATTTTGCTAAGACTGGGTGAGTATTTGTGTACATAAATCAGACAAAATGACGTACCATTACAATCTAAAAATACACCGAAGCGATAGATTTTACTATTTTAATGTCGATATTTTTTCTAGCAATCCAAATGAAGCTCAAGAAAGTGATCCAATAAGAGCAGGTCGACAAGAACGAGTAAGAATGAAGAACATGGAGTGGACGGCATACGAAGCTGTTCATAAGAAATATTTAAACATAGATATAAAATCTAAATTAAAGAATCATTACAGGGCACACAGGTAAATGTAAAACAAACACTATTGAACATATAAGGAAAGGGAATAAATAATTAACGCAACTATGTTTGTCCTCAGGCTATCGTTCTGGTTGAACCTCGTGCCCGACTTGCATCGTCCCGGGGGAGAAGACGTTCCTCCCTCTCATCATCAGCTCGAGCACGAAGATACGTCCTTACAGCCCACTATAAAAACATTCACACCGCCCTTCAAGAAGATCACTGATTTGATTCTATCGGAGACCGGGGTTGCCACAAAAGTACCGATGCTGGCGGTACTTAATGTTACCTCTCCATTGAACTTCAACGTCGGTGGAGCAAACCCTCCTACACAAAGTCCGGAGGTGCACAAATCGGACGCGACCACTTCTCCGCCACCGGAAGACGGGTTCGCGGCCTATTCTACCGCTTTGAGTGTTACCATCGCAATCGGCTGCTCCTTACTTATTTTGAACGTATTAATATTCGCCGGCGTGTACTATCAGCGAGACAAGACGCGAATGAACGGCCAAGACGGCAACATGAACGGCTCTCATCTGAAGAAGCGCGTCGAAAACGGTCAGATGCCCAACAATATTTGCGGCGACCTCGAAGGGACGTTGACCTATCAGACGAGCCTCAAGAACGATCCGGCGACGATCCTCGGTCATCATCACACGCACTCCCATCATCAACTGCCGCCGCCGGAGTTCGCCGATTTGCCGAGCAACAACGTGGCGAGCATGCCGAGCATGCCGAGCATGGCGACGCTGCCGCGAGCGCCGCCGCCGCCCAAACTGGGGAAGAGCAATATAAACACCCTAGCAGGCGGTCAGCTGCAGGAGAACCAGCCGCTGCTGTCCGCGCACCACATTCAGATGATCAACACGAGCACGTTGACGAAGAAGAACACGCAGCTGAACGCGAAGTCGAACGTGACGATGGAGGAGCTGCGCGTGTGACGTCAGCGCGCCTGACTGCAACGCGCCGGCAGTTGCAGTGACGTGGCTCACCACGACGAGATCGTGTGACTTCAGCCGGACCTTCTCGAGAACCTCGCGGACTATATCTAACCGTTCCACTTCTCGGCTATAGAAGGTTAAAAACACTGTGTTGTGATCTCAAACGTTTGTGACCTTTTAATATAAGTAGTGAAATCAAATATGATAACATTTTATAGTGTACTAGTACGAGTACTGAAGACTTTAACAAAGATATAAGAAGAAACACTACGTAGTGAAGTGTCGTGTGAAAACATTTTGTGACTTATATAACCATATCTAAACGATTCGATAGGAGTGTCGGTGTCTTAAATCGGACGTTAATATTTATCATTGTGTAAATGTTTGTAAATAACATTAATAGTAAAGGTTAAAATTAAAATGTACATAGTGGTGTGAACAGTTCAGCCGCATATCCCTCCTACTCACACTAATTGTATGTCGACTTAGAAATTAGTATTTAATTGTCACGTAATCATATTCTCTCTATTTCCTATAAAATTATACTTTAAAACTAAACATATAGCACGATTTTTAACTAATTATCTTAATAGTTTAACTTCAAATGTTATGCAAATATAAGAATATATTCAATTGATTTATTTTATGTATTTTCTAGTAAATAGAGAGAATTATTTTACTGAAAAAATGGATGAATATAGCAGAATGAATTTAATAAAAAAAACACCAAACTTTTTCTTTATAGTATTATGAATGCATAAAGCAATAACTATTTTTTGTTATAATTGTTTTTTAATATTTCATTATTATTTCGTGAAATTCGAACGTTCAGTTCCACTGTGATTATTTTTAATACAATTTTTAATTAAAAACCGTTTAATGTCTTCAATTGCAGCAATTGAAATAGCAATAAATTTACAAGTAACTTTCATACCCTTAATTTAAAAAAACAAAAATTGATTTAAAGCATTTTGGAAGTCTCAAAAATTTAATCATCACATCCCCACCGAGGGGCTCGGAGCCTACCTTAAGTTTTGTTTTTATATCATAAGGCGGCAAACGAGCGAGCGGCCACCTGAAATCGCTGAAATAGCGAAGTGACCGTTGCCTACCTTTAATCGACGGAGGAGAGGATGCTCAGAAAGAAAACATTTTCCCTTCCCATGCATCCTCTCATCCGGAAAGTCCATTTCCACTTGTCATCCTTTCCTTATTAGAAAAAGGATGGGAAAGGAAAGAGGACTAAAGTTAAGGGTGATTAGGCCATAGTCAACCACGCTGGCCAAGTGCGGGTTGACTTCACACATATCTTTGAATTTCTTCTCAGATTATGTGCAGGTTGCATCACGATAAAAATTTAATAACGTAAATATTACATTTTTATAAATATTAAAATAATATACTAGTGGAACTGAAGCTTATCGTGTGCACAATATTATATTTTTACGTTTAACATAGACGGACCAATAGTTTTTGTATATATGTAAATAATTTTAGTAAACAATTTAGCTGATTGGAATGAATGTAATCTAAATTAAATCATTAAAAATGAATACAAAAGTTGAAAAATTAAAATCTGGTAAATCAATTTAATTTGCTTTAAAATTATCTTAATTGAAAATTTATATCAAACATCTTTGCAAATTGAGAAATTAGTTATTGAACTCGTAAATATAAGGCCTAGCGCACACTTGCGTTTTTCTTAAAAAAAAACGCAAGTGAGAGTCCGACATAACATATTAAAAACAATTGAATTCTTGTTGTTTACTATCAAAGGTTATTGGTAATTCGACTTCCCGTTAGGAAGCTATGTGAAAGTGAACCATTTTTTTAATTATCATGTTTATTAGCGTTTTATCAAAAATAGTCAAAAATCAAAAATTTCAAACAGCAGTTATCGGTCTCAATTTAAAAATGCAAGATGATGAACGACAATATAACATTTATTTTGAAGTTAAATTCCACTTAAACATCTTGAAAACAGAAAAACCGTTTAGCTCCCCACGTTAATAAGTCGAATTAGCAAAAACTCTGTACTTAACATTTTTATGTATAGTTTAGTAAATTATTACTAAACTAAACATAACATAGTAAACAATTACTTTATTAACTGTGAACTGTGTAATTCCTTTGAAGTCTTAATTAACACAAATTATAACGAAATAATTTCTAAAAAATGTATTTAATTGGAAGAAATAAAGTCAATAATTAAAATGATTTGAAAGAGATACGAATTTCGTTACATTTTCTAGACAACAAGAATCAAATATTGGGTCAACAATACTTAAAATCTTTTTTAACATATTATAATATTTTTAGCTTCAAACACAATATTGTTAATTTAAAAGTAAACAGTTTGATATGTAATCATAGATAACATTTGGTCTGAACAAAATACTTCCTTCAATTACCTAATGAGAGGCGGACTAAACGATTTTAATAAATCATTACAAATGAGGTTAAGCAGTTTTATTTTATACATTTTAAAAAGAAAGATTATATAGGACAAAGGTAAGTATCTAGTTCTATAAATGAGTAGCGACTAACCACCGTAGTATTTGAAGCATAAATATGACTAAAATACAATGGTGGTAGTCAGTACAATGCATTCGAAATTTAAAAATTATCAAAGCAACTTTTAAGGTATGCTTCCATTGGCCCGCGAAGGACCCACGGCCAAAGAACGGAAGACAAAGCAAATCCGTTTAATTCGTGCGTAAAACGGACCAATGGACGCGCACCTTAAAAATCATAAACACGTTTAAAAGCATAAATTCTAAATTCACAAACTTATCGATGCATTCGAAATTTAAAAGTTTTGTAGACCACTTTTATGCTTTCTTTTCTTTTATACATTCCAACAAACATACACCCATCCCATTATAAGAAACTAATTGTTGCCCGCGACTCCGTCTGCGCGGAAATAAAAATAACATAACTAGTAGCTTACGTGTTCTTCCAGACTAAACTCTACATCTATGCCAAATTTTACCAAGAGTCGTTAAGCCGTTGTGAAGATAACTTCAAACAAACATCGAAACATTCGCATTTATAAGATAAGTAAGATGTAACATTTGTTTCGACAAAGCATGTGTTCTTAGAATAAATACAACAAAAGCAGGTAATTATTGACCCGTGTAAATACGGTTGCGTTAATGTTGGCAAGCAGGTGTATAACATTGACTTACACGTGCCTTCATTTGCCCTTTCGTATGTCATTCAAATGTGTTTAATCTCAGCACTGTAATTCTATTTGTACTAAGAAACATGGATTTGCGTTTCGCACATTTTTTTTATAAGAATATAATTGCGAATGCTTGTAAACTTTAAGTTATATCTAAAATACTAGCTGTCGCCCGCACCTCCGTCCGCGCGGAGTTAAAGATTAATTCATAGCCTATGTGTTCTTCAAAACTATGTTCTATATACAATAGACATACGCAATTGCATATGCGTTGCCTATCTTTAATCGACGAAGGAGAGAGTGCACAGAAAGAAAATATTTTCCCTTTCCATGCATCCTCTCATCGGGAAAGTCCACTTCTACTTCCCATCCTTTCCTTATAAGAAAAAGGGTGGGAAGGGAAATTCATTAATCAATTAATCGCTACATTATTCCAATCAGACCACAAGCTGAAGAAGGAAAATTAATGATGTCATGCTATGTTGCTGGGAGGCCGGAAATCCATTCATTATAGTAAGGTCATTCTGTAAGTTGTACAATTGTATTTATTACTTTTTAGACTACAAATTAAAAAAAAAAACATTTAAAATCCTACTAAAATTTTAAATGCGAATATTTGAACGGATGGATGTTTGTTTGAAGGTATCAACAGAACGATGTCTATTGTATATAGATTGTATGTATATGCAATCGTTCTGTTGATACCTTCAAACAAACATCCATCCGTTCAAATATTCGCATTTAAAATTTTAGTAGGATTTTAAATGTTTTTTTTTTTAATTTGTAGTCTAAAAAGTAATAAATACAATTGTACAACTTACAGAATGACCTTACTATAATGAATGGATTTCCGGCCTCCCAGCAACATAGCATGACATCATTAATTTTCCTTCTTCAGCTTGTGGTCTGATTGGAATAATGTAGCGATTAATTGATTAATGAATTTCCCTTCCCACCCTTTTTCTTATAAGGAAAGGATGGGAAGTAGAAGTGGACTTTCCCGATGAGAGGATGCATGGAAAGGGAAAATATTTTCTTTCTGTGCACTCTCTCCTTCGTCGATTAAAGATAGGCAACGCATATGCAATTGCGTATGTCTATGGGCAACGGTCACTTCGCTATTTCAGCGATTTCAGGTGGCCGCTCGCTCGTTTGCCACCTTATGATGTAAAAAAAAGATTTCTAGCAAGAATTTATACTTACTATATTTTGTCTTACTTATATCCACAGGCGCTTTATAATTGCGCCAAACGCGAAGGGCCCTTGCTATAAATTACATCGCCTGGGCTACTTGTTAAACATCTACTTGAAGAATTTGAAACACGTAAAGTTTAATAAGTCGCATAGTTGTTAAGGGTTGTAAAACATATATTATCTAGTTTTAAATTTATATTCCGATATTATCTTAGTAAACAATCCTAAATAAGAAATAACTTCGGTAGTTTGTCTTGTTCTATTCATACTTTTAAACTAAGCAATTTTAAGAGAAAAACCGACTTAAAATATCCCAAAGAAAATGAACTAAAAAGTAATAAAATCTACATGAATACCCTCCAGAGTAAAAAAATCTTTTCCTTTTATTATATAATATGTCTATTTTATACAATAATTGTTATTTCGGAGTCCATGTTATCCTATAAAACTTATGAATATAAATAATATTTTAAGTAGAAATGGTTAAAAAGCAAGATTAATTAACAGTATCTTTGCAAATAAATATCCAGTTCAAATAAGAGGAAATACAAGCAAAGCATCTTGAATATAAATAATTAGCAAGGGAATGACTGATCCGCGCGCTTTGATATTTGCGAAGGGTGTTTAATGTCTTCTTCACTTTCATACAAATGATAAGATATATTAACTTGATATAAATTTCGCTTATGATCTCACTCTATACCTTTTTGTATGTAGAGTATAGAGATGTTTTATTTATTTAAATATGTAGAACGATAGCAAGATGTTTTAAAGATGTTATATTTGTTAAAAAAGATACTACAAGCAAACTTTGCTTCACGCAATATTAGTAAATATGTTAACGCACTTTTCTTTGTCCGAAGACGTTCTCAATTAAATGCCAACTCCCAAACCTCATTGTAATTTAAATTATCTCTATATTTTGTCTCCTAAAACAATGTAAAATAAATAAAAAAAAACAATTCAATGGATCAAAAAAAGTATTTCAAACAAATGATACTCGGCTATTGAAAGAGATATTTTTTGGCAAGCAAAACAATAGAACAACGAAGACATCAAGGGAATTAAAATAATTCATATCTATTACTTCGGTGTGCGTAACTTTGTCACGGAAATTACGTGCTTTTACGAATTTCAATACTATTTATCACGGTTTCTTACAATGAAGGA